CCCCGGTGCCCTCCCAGGTAGGCGAGGGGCTTGGCGAGAGGTGACCCACCGGCACGGGGAAGCCACGGGCATCTCCAGCCTTTCTTTTCCCTGGTTTTGCCCCCCCCCCCCGCAGGTCATCAACGCGCAATCCCTCACGGGCCAGGCGGGCAAGATGAGGAGCGTGGTGCAGAAAGTCCTGCTGCAGATGAACTGCAAGATGGGCGGCGAGCTCTGGGGGGTCGACATCCCCCTGGTAAGGCGGGCGAGACACGCGCGCGATGAGTTCGCAAGCTCCGGGCTGCGGGGTAAACTGGTGCGGTCACGGGCTTCCCTCTGGGGATGCGGATGAACCATCTGCAGAATTGGGGTTGGCATCTCCGCTGTGTGCGTGCAACATCCCTCGCGGCTGGAGGGATCCAGGCAGGGCAGCCCAGAGGTGTCTGAATTATCCCTAACTCCCATCTGCCTTTTTTATCTGCCTCCCCCCCACCCAGAAACAGCTGATGGTCATCGGTATGGACGTCTACCACTGCCACAGCAAAGGGATGCGCTCCGTCATCGGCTTCGTGGCCAGCATGAATCAGTACGTGGTAGCCCAGGGTGGGGGAGAAGGCTTTCCTCCCACTCCGTGCTGGGGATGCAGTATCGGGGTGGTCCCACACCAGCATGGGGGCTGCCTCCCCTTTGCCGGGAAAGGGGTGAAGGTGATGCCTAAGGTCTCCACCGGCGTGTTTATGTTGGACATCGCTGGTGGCCTTCAGTGTGCCGTCGGTGTTGTATTGCGGGAAAAGGCGCCGCGAGCGCCGAGCCGGGGGTGGGTTTGGGTTGCACAACGTCTCGGTGGACTTTGACTGGCGAAGGGGGGTGCCTGATGCTTGTCCCCACTCTGTCCCCAGTGTCCTCACCAAGTGGTACTCCAGGGTGGTCTTCCAGATGCCCCACCAGGAGATCGCCGACAGCCTGCGCCTCTGCCTGGCCGATGCCCTCCAGCACTTCCACGAGGTGAGGGCAAACCCCCAGCTAGCGAAAAAGCCCTCCCCGTGGTTTCACGTCGCCTCAAAACGAGGGAAAACCACCCCAAACCCGTCAGCCTGCCTGCGTGCGGGCGAGCGAACATCCTCGGCAGCCTTTGGACTGGACGCGACGCCCGCAGCCACGCGCGCCCGGGGAGGCTCAGCCTTATCTGGGGGGAACGCGCGAACCCGCCTCGAGGATTAGTTTGCACTGGGGGAAGTGCCACGTTAACGGCTCTGCTCGTATCAGCATGGAAATGCTGAGCGCTGTCCTTTCGCGTGAGAAAAACAGCGTGTGACGGATGGGGCCGGGGCCCGGACCCGCTCGTGGGATTTTCCCATCCTTCCCTGCAGCTGCTGGAGAAACGGCCCTGATAACGGGAACGGTGCTGGTCACCAAACGCTTGGCCCGTGGGCAGGATTAGTGCCACCGCCACTTCTTCCGAAAGCCGCTTTGAAATGTGTTTGCTGGGGCTGAGTGTAGTTCGGGGCGTTCTGCAAAGCTCGAGGGTGATGGGTTGAATTCAGAGGCTGTAAGACCGCCGAATTAGATTAAATATTAGGAAGAAATTGTTCGCTATAAGGGTGGTGAGCCCCTGGGGCAGGTTGCCCCGAGAAGCTGTGGCTGCCCCATCCCTGGAGGTGGTCAAGGCCAGGTTGGACGGGGCTTGGAGCAACCTGGGCTGGGGGGAGGTGGCCCTGCCCAGGGCAGGGGGTGGCACTGGGTGGTCTTCAAGCTCCCTTCCAACCCAAACCATTCTATAATTCTATGAATTATCAGCCCTGGAGACCCGGTGGGTATTCAGTGCCCAGTTTCTCACCAGGGTGTGCATCTCCCCCCACCAGCCAGTCCTCTGCGTGGTGGTGGTGGTGGGAAAAAACCAGCAATCCCTTCCAATTTCTGCTTCCCCAGATGAACCACTGCTTGCCCAAGAAGATAGTCGTGTACCGGGACGGCGTGTCCGACAGCCAACTCGACACCGTGCTCAAGTACGAGATCCCCCAGATGCAGAAGTGCTTCGACACCTTTGAGAACTACCAGCCCAGCATGGTGGTCGTGGTGGTACAGAAACAAATCAGCACCAACTTCTACGCTGTCGCGACGGAGCAATTCACGTCCCCTCCTCCGGGAACGGTCATCGACCATACGGTCACCAGCTCGGATTGGTGAGTGGCGGCAACGCCGGCTGCCTGGGGGGGTTCAAAAAACCCCTTTGTGTTTGGGGGGGGAAAAAAACCTGGTGTGCCAAAAAAAAAAAATTACCGGTGTGCAAAAAATTAACCCCTTTGCCCTTTCCCTCCCTCCCAGGCAGGATTTCTTTCTCTTGGCCCATTGCTCTCGCCAAGGCTGCAGCATCCCCACGCGCTACGTCTGCGTGCTGAACACGGCCAACCTCAGCTGCGAGCACCTGCAGAGGTAAGGGCAGGCTTTCCGCAGCACCCCTATATCGTAGGCACCTCTGAACCCCCAAATCTGGGTGGTTTGGTTTGGTTATTTTAGCAAAACAGTCGCCTGGAGCTGGCGGGGAGGGCGGGAGGTACCTATGCGGGCACTGGGATGAATTTGCTCTGCATACTGGGAGGACTCGATAGCGGATTGAGGGAGAGGGAGGTGTACGGCATCTCTCTCGCCTCCTCTCCGGGCAAAAATTAATTATAAAGGTGATAAAGGGAAATCCGTGTCGCCTGGGTGGCCCTGTGGGAGGGCTGCGGTGGGTTCAAACATAGCTCTGATAGTCCCCGGGGTAATTAGTGCAATCAGCCGCCATGGGGAAGAAATCTTCCCCGTGATTGATGGGGAAGAAAACACCCCCCCGGTGAGCAGATTTAGCCCAGCGCCGCTTTAGGGAGCGGGATGCGTCCCCGAAGCATCGATCCTGCCCGCGCCGGGGTGACCAGGGAGCACTGACCCCTTCTCCTCTCGCTGTCCCCAGGTTGACTTTCAAACTCTGTCACCTCTACTGGAACTGGCCGGGCACCGTCCGCGTCCCTGCGCCGTGCAAGTACGCGCACAAGCTGGCATTCCTCTCGGGACAGGTCCTGCACCACGAGCCCAGCGCCCAACTCTGCGACAAGCTCTTCTTCCTATAGCCGGCGTGCTGGCCACGGAGGCGGGGGGGGCGGGAAAAAGGGCGCGCTTTGGGGTTCACCCCCCCCGGCCGCTGCTGTTAAGGTCTCCTGCAAGAGGGACTTTCTTTCCTTAAGTATGTTTTTTGGGTTTGTTTTGGTTTTTTGGTTGTTTTTTTTTTTTTTTTAATTTATTTCCGCACGTGGTTTCTTGGGTTCATTTTTACCGTTGTTTTATAAAGGATGCTCGGAAGCGCTGCGGCGCGGCGGCGCGGAAGCGCCTGCGGCGCGGCGGCGGCGGAGCCCCGGAGGTGTTGGGCTTTCCGGTTTCATCTCCGTGGGAAAGAACCCGCAGCAAAACCCCGCTGCGGCGGGACCCCCAAGTCTCCGCTGGTTTCCAGTCCTCCCAGTAAAGAGGTTGGAGGAAATGAACCCCAAAGGTGATGCCGCACCCGCGGCGCGGGCTCCCGCTCCTCCCTGCCCCGTGCAGGTGCTGGGTGCAAAACTTAAAAAATTTGGGGTATTTTTTTCCCCCCTACAATCCCCTCGCATTGCCATCCAGGCAGTCGCCTATTTAACGTTTCACTTTGCTTTTTCGAGCTCCTGTTTTTAACAACCGCAGCTCCGGTTCCGCTGGTTGTCACGTCCTTAAAAAAAGATACTCGTTTTCCAAGGAGAAGTCTTATTATTCTTTTTATTTTTTAGTATTCTGCGGGGCCGGTAGGTAGGAGAGCAGGTCGCTATTCCCAGGGAAAAGCGTCTGTTTGAGTTTTCAGCTATTTCGGGTGTTGCTTTGCTGCGGTCAAGAGATGTTTGAGACCTCGGAGTTTGAAACTGTCGGAGAGGGGGACGGGACTGCGAGAGCATCCCCAAAATCACCTGGATTTCAGCTCCTGCCTCCCACCCACCCCTCGTGCAAGCACCGGCAGGGATGGGGGTACGGCGGGAGCTCTCCCCTCCCTTTTAATGCAAAAAAAAAAGTTGAAAATATTTAATTTTTTTTTTATTATTATTTTTTTTTTTGCTGGAACTGTAGTTTTCAGTTAACTTCAATAAAAACGTTGCTGGCAGCTGCTCCCTCTCCATGTAGGGTGGGCGAAGGGGCTGGGTGCTCGTGGGGATGTCTTCACCCCGCTTTTTCCCGGGGGGGGGAGGTCTCTCCCGGGATGGAGGGGACAGGGAAGGGGGGGTGGGGGGTGTCCGCACAGCGGTGATGCCATCCTGCACCGCGTCCCCTGCGCCCTGGGTTAATCATTCACCTTCACCGATAGCCCTTTTATTTGCCGGCCCCGGCGGACTTTGGCAACCTTCGCCCTGCCCGGGCGGGTGTTTTGGCACG